ATCATTGGAATCATGCTCAACGTTCCAAACGCCATTGTCAAATTTCTAGGCATACAGGATTCCGGCGCTCAACGTTCGACGTTTACGTTTTAGAGATGAAAACTTCGGCCGCAACATCCGTAATCTTTTAATTTCCACACGTACCGGTACGTTTGTATCATTTTTGAGTAAAAAGGAAACATTGTGCAAGATTTTAAATTAGTGAAGGATAATCAAGGACAGATAAATGCTCAGCTTACGAGTTTCCAAAAGTTTCTGGGTTCAGAAAGATAAGAAGATGACTCACAGATATCCTTTTGTTTGAAGAACCTGAAGAATTGTGTATCAAATTCCAAAAGGTAGAATCGAAACTCAAATTTCTTGCAGATGAAAGTGAAAAACTTATGGATGAATGTGTAACGTTTGAGGAAGCATATTTTAAATGTAACCAATAAAGCAAACACAAGGCTAGAGGTACTGTACAATGAACAACGAAGGCAGAACCAACAGTTTCGCTAGTCAATTTTAACAAGAATGACGTATGCAACTACCAACATTATATTTGTCAAAATTTGATGGACAATACGATAAGTCGGTCCTTTTTTTACATCAATGATGGACAAGAACCAGAATCTATCTGATGTCAGTAAATACCAGTATCTTCGTAATTTTTTGCAAGCACCTGAAAATTCCCTGTAGGTCATACAGTCATCACTAAATATATCTAGAGAGAATTATAAAATGGAACTTGCTCAAGTAGAGGTATGACAACAAGAAACTAACTATCAATAAACAAGTAAGAGAGTTTCTTCTATTTCCAACAATAATCAAAGACAGTCATACGTCACTGAAGACCGAATGGTTAGAGTGGTAAAGTATTGTTCTTGGAAACCCGGGTTCCAATCCGGACTGGGTCGAAAAACCCCCAGAAATTTTTTGGAGATATGTCAGGCTCCATCTTTCGCCACTCAGTTGCCCCATTGTAGGCAAGACAGAACTCATAATGGGTTTGCTAAAACTGGTTTTCTTAGTTGTTCCAGGTGATTGGACATGGCAAGCAAGCAAGATACGACTAGTATTTGTAATGAAATTTTACTTTATTAAATTGGGTTTTCTTAGTGCTTACAGGGCGGAGAAAGTTAGAAAAGTTATAGGTCACTTAGACAATTCGTTGACCATATACGATCATGTGAGAGCCTTGGATAATCTGAAGCAACCAGTAAAGTATTAAGATACATTACTGATTACTTTAATTTCAGAAAATTTGCATTTATTATGTAAACATAAATGAGAAAATAAAACAAGTCAAATTACTGGGACTGAAAAAAATGAGCTCATTCTACCTAGAAGAACGTATTGAATTTGACAAATTGAAACAATACCATAGATATGCTAAACACTAATCATTTGAGAAATGACTCTGCCAGAGCTGTTTCAACGAATAAATTTGAAAGGACAACATTAACTTTAACATATATGGATATGAGAAATTTTTTGGACTGCCAGTTCAACTGAGAGTTGAAGAAATCAAGAGAATATGTTTAAATTTCTTAGGATAAGGCACTTTACAAGAACATTTAAATCATCCTACTGTCAAAAATATATCAAGCAGCACAGTAAGTTGCTTGCTTTATTTAGAAACTGTGCAGAGGAAGCTGAGAAATCAAATAGGAAAGACACGAAATAAAGTATATATAGTATTAAACGGTATAATCATGGGCGCTCGTATATTGCAGAACTTGGGATACGTATTCCCCTTTTCGTCTGGGCTGTCTTTCTTTTTCTAATTCTGAAAGTCCCAAATTCCATTAACAACAAACAACAGATTCATGATTTCTAGTCTATTTTGCAAATATAAAAGAAACTAATGAAACGATANTAGAGTAGGTGTTTTCGCACGTTAACCGAGTCGACACTTTGTGACATATCTTTTATTTATTTATTAAACGTGTCGACCTAATTACAAAACTGGATACTACTACGAGTCGTCTGAAGATGTAGTAAGATAAAACATCTCCCGGTTTTTTTTTCTGCCGGAGGGTAAACGTTTTCGCCAAGTGTTCCAACGAGTTAAAGCGAAAAAAGTAGTTTAATAATGTTTTGAATGATTATTATTATTTTTTTTAAATAATCGATTCAAAAAACTTTCGTAAATTTATTCTCGGGCATCGCTATCGTGTCTGTTTTAGTCGGAAGGAAGAGGTATACAGCCTCCTCGAGTTCTAAATAAGGAGGACGAAACCATTTCCCTACATGGATATGGCATACGGTACTGAAAGAAGCGACTATCCTCGCTATTTCTTAGCAAATATTTCTCTTAACTCTAGTCGTTCCCGTTTCGACTGTTACCAAGATTGGGTTCTTCTTTTATGAACTTTATCCACTTATTCTTCTTACCAAAATCTATATTAGAAAGGGGTAATTGTGGTTTAACATTCCCTAAAAACACATTAATTATATATATATACTTTTTTTACGTTCCATTCTGTCAGATTTATTTGGCAGTTTTTTAAGCTGTTGTATTATTTTTTTCACCTTAGAAAATACATAATGTTATCCATTATCGTGTTTGGCTGGCAGACAAAGTAAGCAAGGAAACAGCCTAAGATTTTCGAGAAAAAGTTTGAAACAATAAGATTATGGCAGAGGTTAAATAATATGTGGACACGTCGAAAGATCTCTGATATCTTTGGCTAAAATACAAAATGCTAGGTATTTTACTTACCTAATATTTTATTCTATCACGTGCCTTATAAGGCGGTTCCACCTAAAATATTTTTATTGATTTGTATACACGATAACCTAATTTCTTTTGTGACTAGGCAACATCTATACAACCCAAGGTTCCAATGGCAATTCTTACAATAGAACTCTTTCAGCTACGTCCTTGTTACTTGTACTACGTTCCTAAACGTTTAATTTTGGCAAGAAAGCGCTAATATATTAACCATTTTATTCACACCGTTACGGTTTTACAGTTTCTTCGTTTAGTCGGCGGCACGGATAAATGAATTTCGTATCGCTTTCCAATAAATTTCCATTTATATACATTAAAATAGAAAAGTAGACTGAATACGACTTTATACAATTGATAATCTCATACACTTTGAAATAGCCGCTAATACAAATATAGAAATAAAATAAATTGGAGGGATTTTCTCTAAAGCGGGGGTGGACTGTAGCGGAAGAGGGTAACGAAAAAAAAAATTCATTTCCTGACCATAAATGGAGTCTCTCGAGTGTTTCGGGCAGGCGTTAGGTAAAGCAAAAGGAGAAAAAGAGCGGGACGTTATTTTTGGCTGCGCTTCGGGCACTTTCCTCTCACTCGTCACAGTCACCATCCCGTCTGCTCCGAGCGGGTTTCCCATTTAAAATGGACTTTGCGTGTCTCCATTTACGGCCAAAAGACTCTCGCCACATATTTAACCGCACATTTTCGTACAATCGAACATTAAATATCATTTTTAAAAATGTTATTCCACATAAAAATATGTTAACGCTCTTCTCATGCCAAAATATATAATCAGATTCTAACTACTCTTTTTAGCGTTGTCTTATTGGGGATGATGATTATCCAACGAATATTTATTTCGGAACTCAGCCAAATTCTTGCGCTTCCCATTTTTCTTTATCTAAAAGAGATTCGAATAGATAGATTTATTTAAAATCCCGGAAATCCTTCAGGATAAATAACATCGGATAGGATAAAACTCTTATTATGATTCGGATCGAACCGTCTTTTATATACGGTTCGATGAACATTGACTTTGAAAACTAGAATGAAACCGTATCGAGGACAAATACCCATCTTCTATATTAATATACGTTCGATAATATCCTCAAATTCTCTTCCTACAAATCATTATTCGTGTTCCACATTCCATTCGAACTCCTTTTCCTCCCTCCTCCCTCCTCCCTCCTCCCCCTTTGCAACCTTCACAAATCGCGACATTTTATACTTCGTTAACTAAAAGAAATTGATTAAAAATTATTCTAAATTTAAATTTGACAATTCAGAATTTAGTTTTTGACTATTTTCTGTCGCTTGTTGTTTCTCTGTCATTCACCCACACAGTTGATAACCTGCCAACATTCGAACCTTTTCGAATACTTTGTACACTTTTACGGTATAGATTATTCCTATATATAGGTTAATTATTATTTTAGGTATTACTCTATTTAAATAAGTACAGTAATAGTATAATTCCCGAGACATATCGTCTCGATATTCTCGAGTTTCTTCCACGTGCTATAAGGAAAAGACAGCTTCTCCATTATAACACGCTGTTTATTTTTTATTAAATAAAATGTTTCCTCGTTAATTTATGAGATAATTAATGTTATTTTCATTTAATAGTCTACAGATTTTCATCTTTTATCTATTATTAATTGCTATTTAAGTTAATAATTTGAAATTTTTTTACTGTATTAACTACAAAAGGTTGATGGACTTGTTAGGGAATTTTAAAATTCCCTAAAGTTTGAATTTTCATTTAATTTTTCCCTAAATTTCGATTAGTTTTTTCCCCACCCCGCATTTAAGATTGAATCGGAATGAGTTCAATACCCAACCGGTAGCCTTCTATGGTTGTGTTTATGATACTAAAAATGATGATTAAATATTTATAATAATAAAACGTTAAAAATATAATCGGAAATTCCTATTAATAAATCACTCGTAAATAAATTTAATTGCCGATTTCGTTCCGGATGTATAAAAACTTACCGAAAAATTTTCCCTGTTTTTTCCCTATTGGTGCAAATTCCCTGCGTGCCGAGGGAAATAGTTACGTCACGTTTAAAATTGGGGCGCCCTCTCTGTTCGTCTTCTCGATACGCCGAGGGTGTGAATCGGAAAACTCTAACGAGACATTTGTCCCAAATTTTCGTGTTTAATTAGTTATTTTTCTATTCTTTCTAACGAAGCTTTGCCTCATTTTTAACTTTATACTATAAATAAACATACGAAAACGCTACCGTGAGCGGAATCTTTTTAACGTCACGTGATCGATTGTTCGAAAAATCATCCGGCAGTCGAGACGAGATTCTATTATTGGGTCACTGCCATTTTAAATATTCGACGTGTAGAAATATTAATTTACAAAAAAAATTCGCTCCGTTTCGTCGGTTGTTACGCTAAAATATTTTCCTGGAACGAGATTCCTCTTCTAAATCTAACCCAATAAACTTAATAGAAAAAGTTATTCGAATCGACCAATCAACGTCGAGGTTACAATTACGTTACGGTTAATTCCGGCAATGGAATCTAATATCGGTCATTCTTATTGGTTTAAAAATTTTTACGCTTCGGAAAATTTTTCATATCGGAGTATGTAGAATATTTCGTTTAAATTTAAATTTGTGAATACGTTTAGGGAAAAAATAATAATAAATTTAATTTAATTTTTTTTTTTTTTCTAATGTAGAAGTTTACTGGGTCGTCTTAGACCCACGAACTAGTTTAACGTTTCTATTTTTACAACGTTCTTTGAGTGAGTTTCCATTTTCGGTTGAACGATTATTCTGTGAAGTTCCGATGAGCAAAATCTCTGGTTATGAGGTGAAAGAATGGATTCTTTTCTATGTTAAATACAAAAAAAAAAGATATAATGGTAGTTCGTCCATACGAAATGATCGAGTGATCAATCGGTTCAACGATCGAATCGCCATTTAAATCACATTAACAATGAGTAAAATAATCTTAATAAATGTATATAGTATTTAACCTTGACTGTGTGGAGATGGAATTTAAAATTAGCATAGTTTAATACAGAAGGAATTCCTGTGTAAAAAGGAAATAGGAATGTATCGATATAAAGCAATAGGAATGAAATAAACGATGGGAAAAGATGCGGAACAAAGCGAGTCGCGATGAACTTTTCTATGGCCATAGGAGGAGATGGGAGCTCGGGAACCTCCAGGAGTAGAGAGGGAGGGAGTCTGTATTCCGAAAATAACTCAACGTTCCCAAAATTAACTCGCGCACATCCGACAGACCTAGTTGTATGGAAGTTGTGGCGTGCCTTTCAGTCAGGCTGTAACGCTACACCTCTGCATGACCGGGAGATGCTGGAGCAGTCAGACATTTCATATTAGGCGATGGTTGGAGTAGCGAGACTGAAATAGTGCGGGGAGCCGACTCGACGACCAACCGAGGGGGCCACCGTTCTATCTCCCTATAAGGAATTGTGTGGAATGGGGAAGAGGGACCTTAGCCATATTAGCCTACGCAAATTCTCATTGGTTAATAGAATTGGCTGACGTCAACCGCAGCCCGCAGTTCCTACAAAACCACAAGGCACTAGGTATCGTCCGTTACTCGAGGTCCCCGAACCAACAGAGGTTTAAGTGCTTGCAAGGGAAGACTCACCTACCCAATTGGTAATTTTCTTATACTCGTGTGTGTGTGCCTGTGACAAGAGAACGGACTTATTCTAAAGGATTTTTTTTCTATCTCTTGTTCTTCTCAACAGATAGGTTGTATAGAAGCTTAGTTAATTCAATTGGAGTTTTCACTCTAGTTTAAGAAATTTAGATTTAAGTTATGTTAGTCTTTTATTTTACAGCTTTTTTCTTTAAGTTAGAAATAGTTTTTCTTGATAAACTTTTAAGAAAATAGTTTTAAATTTAAGAGATCTTTTGGATAGTTTAGTCTATCCATCCCTCATTCAGTCAGGAGGGAGTCGTCGGAGGTTACGACTTTTATTGGGAGTGGCTGGGATCTTTCGGGACTTTTTGCATCTCTGACTGGATTTGAGAGACTCTCTCAAATCCAGTCAGAGATGCAAAAAGTCCCGAAAGATCCCAGCCACTCCCAATAAAAGTCGTAACCTCCGACGACTCCCTCCTGACTGAATGAGGGATGGATAGACTAAACTATCCAAAAGATCTCTTAAATTTAAAACTATTTTCTTAAAAGTTTATCAAGAAAAACTATTTCTAAATTAAGGAAAAAAAGCTGTAAAATAAAAGACTAACATAACTTAAATCTAAATTTCTTAAACTAGAGTGAAAACTCCAATTGAATTAACTAAGCTTCTATACAACCTATCTGTTGAGAAGAACAAGAGATAGAAAAAAAATCCTTTAGAATAAGTCCGTTCTCTTGTCACAGGCACACACACACGAGTATAAGAAAATTACCAATTGGGTAGGTGAGTCTTCCCTTGCAAGCACTTAAACCTCTGTTGGTTCGGGGACCTCGAGTAACGGACGATACCTAGTGCCTTGTGGTTTTGTAGGAACTGCGGGCTGCGGTTGACGTCAGCCAATTCTATTAACCAATGAGAATTTGCGTAGGCTAATATGGCTAAGGTCCCTCTTCCCCATTCCACACAATTCCTTATAGGGAGATAGAACGGTGGCCCCCTCGGTTGGTCGTCGAGTCGGCTCCCCGCACTATTTCAGTCTCGCTACTCCAACCATCGCCTAATATGAAATGTCTGACTGCTCCAGCATCTCCCGGTCATGCAGAGGTGTAGCGTTACAGCCTGACTGAAAGGCACGCCACAACTTCCATACAACTAGGTCTGTCGGATGTGCGCGAGTTAATTTTGGGAACGTTGAGTTATTTTCGGAATACAGACTCCCTCCCTCTCTACTCCTGGAGGTTCCCGAGCTCCCATCTCCTCCTATGGCCATAGAAAAGTTCATCGCGACTCGCTTTGTTCCGCATCTTTTCCCATCGTTTATTTCATTCCTATTGCTTTATATCGATACATTCCTATTTCCTTTTTACACAGGAATTCCTTCTGTATTAAACTATGCTAATTTTAAATTCCATCTCCACACAGTCAAGGTTAAATACTATATACATTTATTAAGATTATTTTACTCATTGTTAATGTGATTTAAATGGCGATTCGATCGTTGAACCGATTGATCACTCGATCATTTCGTATGGACGAACTACCATTATATCTTTTTTTTTTTTGTATTTAACATAGAAAAGAATCCATTCTTTCACCTCATAACCAGAGATTTTGCTCATCGGAACTTCACAGAATAATCGTTCAACCGAAAATGGAAACTCACTCAAAGAACGTTGTAAAAATAGAAACGTTAAACTAGTTCGTGGGTCTAAGACGACCCAGTAAACTTCTACATTAGAAAAAAAAAAAAGAATTAAATTAAATTTATTATTATTTTTTCCCTAAACGTATTCACAAATTTAAATTTAAACGAAATATTCTACATACTCCGATATGAAAAATTTTCCGAAGCGTAAAAATTTTTAAACCAATAAGAATGACCGATATTAGATTCCATTGCCGGAATTAACCGTAACGTAATTGTAACCTCGACGTTGATTGGTCGATTCGAATAACTTTTTCTATTAAGTTTATTGGGTTAGATTTAGAAGAGGAATCTCGTTCCAGGAAAATATTTTAGCGTAACAACCGACGAAACGGAGCGAATTTTTTTTGTAAATTAATATTTCTACACGTCGAATATTTAAAATGGCAGTGACCCAATAATAGAATCTCGTCTCGACTGCCGGATGATTTTTCGAACAATCGATCACGTGACGTTAAAAAGATTCCGCTCACGGTAGCGTTTTCGTATGTTTATTTATAGTATAAAGTTAAAAATGAGGCAAAGCTTCGTTAGAAAGAATAGAAAAATAACTAATTAAACACGAAAATTTGGGACAAATGTCTCGTTAGAGTCTTCCGATTCACACCCTCGGCGTATCGAGAAGACGAACAGAGAGGGCGCCCCAATTTTAAACGTGACGTAACTATTTCCCTCGGCACGCAGGGAATTTGCACCAATAGGGAAAAAAACAGGGAAAATTTTTCGGTAAGTTTTTATACATCCGGAACGAAATCGGCAATTAAATTTATTTACGAGTGATTTATTAATAGGAATTTCCGATTATATTTTTAACGTTTTATTATTATAAATATTTAATCATCATTTTTAGTATCATAAACACAACCATAGAAGGCTACCGGTTGGGTATTGAACTCATTCCGATTCAATCTTAAATGCGGGGTGGGGAAAAAACTAATCGAAATTTAGGGAAAAATTAAATGAAAATTCAAACTTTAGGGAATTTTAAAATTCCCTAACAAGTCCATCAACCTTTTGTAGTTAATACAGTAAAAAAATTTCAAATTATTAACTTAAATAGCAATTAATAATAGATAAAAGATGAAAATCTGTAGACTATTAAATGAAAATAACATTAATTATCTCATAAATTAACGAGAAAACATTTTATTTAATAAAAAATAAACAGCGTGTTATAATGGAGAAGCTGTCTTTTCCTTATAGCACGTGGAAGAAACTCGAGAATATCGAGACGATATGTCTCGGGAATTATACTATTACTGTACTTATTTAAATAGAGTAATACCTAAAATAATAATTAACCTATATATAGGAATAATCTATACCGTAAAAGTGTACAAAGTATTCGAAAAGGTTCGAATGTTGGCAGGTTATCAACTGTGTGGGTGAATGACAGAGAAACAACAAGCGACAGAAAATAGTCAAAAACGAAATTCTGAATTGTCAAATTTAAATTTAGAATAATTTTTAATCAATTTCTTTTAGTTAACGAAGTATAAAATGTCGCGATTTGTGAAGGTTGCAAAGGGGGAGGAGGGAGGAGGGAGGAGGGAGGAAAAGGAGTTCGAATGGAATGTGGAACACGAAAAATGATTTGTAGGAAGAGAATTTGAGGATATTATCGAACGTATATTAATATAGAAGATGGGTATTTGTCCTCGATACGGTTTCATTCTAGTTTTCAAAGTCAATGTTCATCGAACCGTATATAAAAGACGGTTCGATCCGAATCATAATAAGAGTTTTATCCTATCCGATGTTATTTATCCTGAAGGATTTCCGGGATTTTAAATAAATCTATCTATTCGAATCTCTTTTAGATAAAGAAAAATGGGAAGCGCAAGAATTTGGCTGAGTTCCGAAATAAATATTCGTTGGATAATCATCATCCCCAATAAGACAACGCTAAAAAGAGTAGTTAGAATCTGATTATATATTTTGGCATGAGAAGAGCGTTAACATATTTTTATGTGGAATAACATTTTTAAAAATGATATTTAATGTTCGATTGTACGAAAATGTGCGGTTAAATATGTGGCGAGAGTCTTTTGGCCGTAAATGGAGACACGCAAAGTCCATTTTAAATGGGAAACCCGCTCGGAGCAGACGGGATGGTGACTGTGACGAGTGAGAGGAAAGTGCCCGAAGCGCAGCCAAAAATAACGTCCCGCTCTTTTTCTCCTTTTGCTTTACCTAACGCCTGCCCGAAACACTCGAGAGACTCCATTTATGGTCAGGAAATGAATTTTTTTTTTCGTTACCCTCTTCCGCTACAGTCCACCCCCGCTTTAGAGAAAATCCCTCCAATTTATTTTATTTCTATATTTGTATTAGCGGCTATTTCAAAGTGTATGAGATTATCAATTGTATAAAGTCGTATTCAGTCTACTTTTCTATTTTAATGTATATAAATGGAAATTTATTGGAAAGCGATACGAAATTCATTTATCCGTGCCGCCGACTAAACGAAGAAACTGTAAAACCGTAACGGTGTGAATAAAATGGTTAATATATTAGCGCTTTCTTGCCAAAATTAAACGTTTAGGAACGTAGTACAAGTAACAAGGACGTAGCTGAAAGAGTTCTATTGTAAGAATTGCCATTGGAACCTTGGGTTGTATAGATGTTGCCTAGTCACAAAAGAAATTAGGTTATCGTGTATACAAATCAATAAAAATATTTTAGGTGGAACCGCCTTATAAGGCACGTGATAGAATAAAATATTAGGTAAGTAAAATACCTAGCATTTTGTATTTTAGCCAAAGATATCAGAGATCTTTCGACGTGTCCACATATTATTTAACCTCTGCCATAATCTTATTGTTTCAAACTTTTTCTCGAAAATCTTAGGCTGTTTCCTTGCTTACTTTGTCTGCCAGCCAAACACGATAATGGATAACATTATGTATTTTCTAAGGTGAAAAAAATAATACAACAGCTTAAAAAACTGCCAAATAAATCTGACAGAATGGAACGTAAAAAAAGTATATATATATAATTAATGTGTTTTTAGGGAATGTTAAACCACAATTACCCCTTTCTAATATAGATTTTGGTAAGAAGAATAAGTGGATAAAGTTCATAAAAGAAGAACCCAATCTTGGTAACAGTCGAAACGGGAACGACTAGAGTTAAGAGAAATATTTGCTAAGAAATAGCGAGGATAGTCGCTTCTTTCAGTACCGTATGCCATATCCATGTAGGGAAATGGTTTCGTCCTCCTTATTTAGAACTCGAGGAGGCTGTATACCTCTTCCTTCCGACTAAAACAGACACGATAGCGATGCCCGAGAATAAATTTACGAAAGTTTTTTGAATCGATTATTTAAAAAAAATAATAATAATCATTCAAAACATTATTAAACTACTTTTTTCGCTTTAACTCGTTGGAACACTTGGCGAAAACGTTTACCCTCCGGCAGAAAAAAAAACCGGGAGATGTTTTATCTTACTACATCTTCAGACGACTCGTAGTAGTATCCAGTTTTGTAATTAGGTCGACACGTTTAATAAATAAATAAAAGATATGTCACAAAGTGTCGACTCGGTTAACGTGCGAAAACACCTACTCTATACTAAATACAGTTTGTTGTATATCTTAATTGTATCATTGTCGATTGTATATTTATTTATTTAGTTCTGAAGCTTTTTTTCGAGTGTTGTTTTGTTGTTTTTTTTTTCCTTAGTTGTCCGTCGGGAACGGATGGAAAGAGATGCCAGACGGCTCCACGTCGTTGTATAGGTGACCCTTGTATGAACGGGGGATCGTGTCACGACTACGGAAGTGGACTCAACTGTTCCTGCTCTGTTGAATTCGCCGGTATCGGGTGTCAACTGGAATACGATGCTTGCGCTGCCGATGTTTGTAAGAACGGAGCAACGTGCGAAGAGACGGGCAACTCTTTCCAGTGTATCTGCCCACCCGGCTACGGAGGAGAATTCTGCCAAGATGACATTCCCGACTGCTCGCCCACTTCGTGTCCCGCTAGTGCCTCGTGTGTCGATCTCACCAACGATTTTTATTGTAAATGTCCCTTCAACGTTACCGGAGAGGACTGCAGGAAAAGTAAGTATTCGCGACTCGCAACCGGGCTACGTTCTAACACGAATAAAACTAGAAAAATATGCTCGAACTTGCGACAGGTGTTATATTTTTCTTTTCGCTTGCGCCACGCGATGCGATGTGATGCGATGCGGCGCGCGGCTCGAAGAAACTAGGACACCTGCCACAAGATTGATGAATATTTAACGTCTTTTGATTTTTTTTTCTTCTTTTTTGTCTTCTGGATGTTTTATTTTCTTAGCTTAGTTTTCATTCACTTGATTATTATAATTATATTTTGAAAAATCATAAAAAGACAATGATGATAAAACAAAAAAAATAACCTGTTTCTATTCAAAACAATGATAGATGTTTCTATCTTACATTTTTTATACAAAGCATTCTGTAAATATTTCAAGCAACAATTCATTTTTTGATAATCATATGTTTCTATTTTTCATATTGTTTCAATTTTATAATCACTCATTTACATTTAATATGTAGGTTACACTGCCATTCTGTTGATATATTCAAAATACATTATATATTGACACAATCTGAGATATCTGAATGTGAAAATGTACAAAAATTCTTCAAATAATGGAATTTTTTTTCACTTTAATTACTTCTAATACATATATGAAAATGCTAGACATTATATATAATAGAGAATATGTCTGAAACATAAAGCAGACAACCAAATATGGTATATTCCTCACATGAGTTAATTTTATTTCTGTATTTCCTACATATTTAGTTATCTATTTAAAAAATACAATATATCAAAATATGAAATGTGAAACAGATAAAATGTATTAATGCTCCTATCAATAATTGTTTGATAAGTGGACAGATGACTCTGTTAATGATACCTCTTGGCATTATTATAACCAAGAGTCTTTTAATAATAAAACAGAGATTGTCCGTTTAATTGAAACATTAAATGATTATTAAATTAAATCTAAATCTTATTAAAAAAATATACAAATACATCTTTATATTCTAATATATTACAATAATGTAATAAACATCTGAACTTAATTTTAATGGGAAGCAGGCAATTTGGTTTGCTAGCATGTAACTTCTGGCTCAATACAATAAAAGAAAAAGAGTATTGCAGGCATAAGCACGTAACATTTAGTAATAGTAAGGAAGAAACGCTGTATGCAGTAAAACAATTGTCTTGCAAATAGAAAAAGTTATTGTTCATTATGTTAAAAATAATACTAAGGTTATAAATGCTTTCTTTTTGCTGTAGGTAATAATATAAACATCACAATTTCCAATGAAATAAATAAAATTTGCTTGTCTAATTAGCAATACTAAAGTACATAGGGTATATTGCAAGCAATACAGATTTATTAAATATTCTGAAAAAGGATTTAAAAAGTTATTTTGAACTTAACTTGTGGATCAAATATCAGACAATTACTAATTTATACAAATATAGTAAACAATATATAAAAGTTTTATCACTTTAATAATTACTTTAAATAAATTACATAAATGTAGAACATAGAAGTGTAGCAAAATTTAATAATGATAATAAACTTAAAAATATTATTAATTTTTAAAACATATCATTTTAAAGAAATAAAGGAGCTGATAATAATAAAAAATAATCTTAGGAGTAATAGGTGACAATTACCCCTTGAAGATCATCACTATATAATAGTAGATATATGCAGTTTTATGATAAGATTTTATTTTAATCAGAAAATCTTAACTTGCACTTTTTTTTTTTTAATAATCATTTCGTATATTTTTTCAAATGCGCCAAAAGTAAGTCATTTATTCTATTAAAATCTTTCTTCAAATATTGGAATGTTAGTATTTGGAGCCAAATTTATTTTTAAGAATTAAATTGTGTTCCAAAAAATTTTTAAAGATTTTTTCCTGCTTTTAATACTTTATCTATCAGTTAGATTATTGAATATAAAGCCAACTTTTTATATGAATTTTGACCTATAAATTTATTTATCAACTGAATAATAGTTTTTTTTTTCTTTCTTTTTGCTTCCTTTTCCTATGTTGTAGTCGGATTTCTAAAAAAATACTTCATTACTTATGTCATTTCAACAACACCCACTGAAATATCTTCCTGCTAAATTTTATAAATTCCAACACATTTATTTTTATATTTTGTCTCATATACGAGAAGAATATTTTTATTGTAGAATTTCTAATTGGAATTTAATTTTTACTTACATATAAATTATACAGATAAAATATTTCTAGTTGATTAATAAGAAGAAACAAAAAGATACATCGTACATATCACTTCCTTCATTTTGTACATTAAACTTAAATGAATTAAATAAATTACTTTGGCTATTTAAGGATTTAAAGTAGATGTAACAAGATTTTGATTAAATCTTCTTATATTTATTTTAACTCCTTAACAGAATCTTTGTTCTTTATATAGAGAAAGGTTTTTATTCTATATGCTTTTTTTTTCTATTATTGAATTAAATACAATATTTTTTCTTATTTATTTAAAAGTTATTTTCAATATACTATGTTGCATTCAAATATATTTAGCTATACTAATTATGAATAATGCAGTCATACAATATGAAGAACTACATAACATTATGTATATTATAATTAAAGCTTTAAGATATAATGATACTTTATCTTTTAGTTATAGATGGATTTACCAAAGTTCGAAAATTTCTCAATTTAGTGTTTTGGTTACAAACTAGAAGAAAAATTTGAGATTTCAAATTTGAAATCACTTTTTGTTTTAAAACATTGCTTTAAAACTAGCAATATATAAAGTATAATTTGATTTAAATAAACATTTTGATCATAACATGTTGTATATCTGTAAAAATGATGTTCTTATCACTTAATATCATCTATCAATAATAAATAAAACAAATGAATTCTTTTAAACATTCTCTACATTTATTTAACTGAAAATTATTTAAGATTCATATACCGTTTCATGGTATATAAGAGATGACTTTTGTCCAAAAACAGGGCTCAAAACATTTCAATGAAGTTGCTACAACTAGGCAACTTTTGCATGTATTCATGTAGACTATTTCAATGGTAAATTTTAATTGCAAATGGTTTTTTTTTTTTTAACTCCTCTTTTCTCCAGATAAATAAAAATTTTCACTAAAAAGTACCAATGGTGAGTACCAATGGTGCTAGATGGCTTAAATACACATAAATATTCTGTGCTGAAATGGGGGTATTGTTTTATATGGTGCAAATATGGTATTTTATTAAATCTGTCTTCTGTTGAGGGGTAAAAATTTCTGTTATAATGTAGAAGGTTGTTTTACTAACTTGTAAGATAGAATTATGTGATAGCAGTAAAGTAAAAAATAAAAATAAAATGGTGAATGAAATTTCTTATTGTCTCATACTGAGAAGTTTATTATATTGAAATTGAAATAGCAATAATTATATATTATTGCTAGTTTAGTTTTTTTCTTACAATAGTATATTGTATATATGTATATATTTTTATTTTGGACAGATTAAAAACTTCCTTATATTTAATTTGTAACTTTTATAATTATTAATTTTCTGTTAAATTTTTCCAGCGATAAATATCAATTATAATCTCTACATAAATGATGACAGCCATTCTTCAAGTGTTGCCCTCGCATCTCCATTTCCTCTTGGATCAAATAGTTTAACTGTAGCATTATGGGTTCAATACAATTCAGCGGATACAAAAGGAACCTATTTTACTCTATATAGTGTTGAGTAAGTATTATTTTTAATTTTAAAAATTTGAAAAAACATTTATTTATTGAAACAAGTTTTGCTTACTAGAGTATCTTATAAGTAAATAAATTATAAAATTGTAAATAATTAAATTAAACTTTATTGTTGTCAACTATTTTTTAGTTTGTACTGTTAAAAAATAAATAATTTATTCATCAAAACATTTTTTTGGGAAATAAGGTTGATAAAATTTCATAAGATTTATAAAAGACAGAATAACAATTGCACTGGACTTCATGAACTTTTTATTTAAGCAGGTTTTTTTTTTGTCTTAGGCAGGCTGGAATAAGGAAATGATTATTACTTTAAATATGAACATATTTTTACCAAGATTTAATCTATATGCCATCTCAACCAAGTTAATAGTTACATAAGTAAAAACAGATGATGACATGAGGTCACAAAATCACTGTGTTAGGTGAACTGCTGAAGAATATTAATATATTTACAATATGCTTCCGTCAAAAAATTAATTTAAATGATTCCTTACTTTATGAAATTATTCACAATAAGCAAACAGAAAGTATTATAAACATTCAAAGCAATCTGTCTTTTACCACTATTTAAAGGCTTGCCTTTCTTGTACTTGGTAAAAATTACTTTACACTCAGCAATCTTGAACAGAACTGAATTTACCAATCTCTCATGACTTGAAATTTTATTACTGTGTACTTATTTTTAGTTATTTTAAAACTATTAATGTATAAAAACTTAAAACAAGTACATGATAATTAATTTTAATTAAGTAAATTAATTTTTTGATGAAAGCATATTGTTTATAAGTATATAGGTGTTCTTCAGCAGTCACCTATCATGATCGCATTGTTGATAATAACATCATGTCACTATGTTATTATCAACTTGGTTGAGGTGGAGTATAAACAAAGTATTTGTTATATTTATTAAAATTATTTCAAAATAAAAGGAAATGGGCACAAAAATAAAATATACATTCCCATATATATTCTCAACTAAAAGCAATGGAAACTTGTGTTTGGTACATATTCTGAGTGAATGTTGTTAGTGTTTTTCATTGAAAATATAGATTTTAGATGCCATCTTTATTGGTTTACTTGTTTGAGTTTAAGCAATACTTTTTAAGTTCTCTTTGTGTTTGTCTCAGTAATAGTTAACAATGAAATATTTAACGTTTAAGGTAATACATTCTTTTAAAGCATAAGAAGCATTGTGAAAGCAGAGTAATTTTGTTACTGTTTTAAAACTGGAATGGACTTACAGTTAGACCAGGAACACAAGCTTAAAGTATAGATTAAATACAGATGGAAACAGAATACACATAACAGTAATTTCTGAAGTTTCTGCCAAAATGAAACATAAAATTGGATAGAGCAAGTTTCTTTATTTTACATATTGAAAAATTTTCTATTGAGGTGAAGCCAATAAGGGAAGTCTTTTATAAAGAGATTTACTCTAAAAACTAGGCCCTCTCAATTCAAAAAATAGCAGATATGCTTTGCTGGCACATGTAGAAACCAAAAGATGTTTAAATCTAAATTTTTTGTAAGATTTAATGTACATACTTGAGATTACTTATTAGAGTTTATTATTTTTAACATATTTTACTTCTTTGTTTAATATTGATTGATACTATATGCCAGTAAAAAAAGTACTGTACAGTTTATTAACTGCACTTTTTAGGCATATTTTTAGGTCTAAATCACATACAGTATGTTATGTTTTCAAAATAATATACAAACACATTAATAATAGTTTACTTAAGTAATTAACTGAACTATTTCCTGAAATCCATTTTTATAGAATTTCAGTAAAATCAATATTAGTAGATTTTATTCCATTTGTAATGTTTTTTGTCAGGCTTCTTGATTCAATATTTGTTTAAGTGTTTGACAGATTCTAACTAATACAAATCAATGACAGAAATATAACAGAGACACAGTTTTCTGTTCATATCTTACAGGTTTTCTTTATACAGAATTTAAAAAACTTTTTTTAAATTAGCTCAGGGACATTCTCCACTTGCAGGTTTTACAGTACAGTAGATCCTGTGTGCACCATGTACAGACTCCCTGTATGCAGTTTCAGGTTTACACTATTGGCATTTCTAAAAGAATTTATTAATTACACACTAAATCCATGCCATTTTTCAAGGTGCTTGAAGTCTTAATCAAGGAACAGAAATTCTGTACAGAGTCATAGAGTCATTCAGAATTTTTTTAAGTTTAAAATCAAATGAAAGATGATAATACAATGTATTAGTAAGAATGTAGGGATTATTTTTATAAAAGAGAAACAATGTGCTGTAAAAAAAAATAAATAAATATATGTAAATTAACTGCAAAAAATATTAAGTTACATATCATACTTATTATCAAATAATAAGGGTATGAATTGCCCTTATTATTTGATATATATATATATAAAATAATAAGGGCATTTCACCCATTTGACCATTTTCTTAGGTGGTCCTGTTGACAATACTTAAAACATGAATTATTAATATTTGTTTTATTTACATTTTTATAAGAATAACATTTTGAAATTTTAACAAATGAATTGTTTTTTCAAAAAATTTAAAAAGGTATATTTTATTTTTCTGTATTTTTTCCAATTATTATAAGCATCTCAATTACAAGAGAAAACAAAGCAAAAAAAAAAAAAAGGTTAATATAACATCAAATAACAACAATATATGCATCTCACAATTTTAATTTAGTCTCATAATTGCTATTTCATCTTCAGTGGTATTAACAGTTACTTTTGCACTGCAGTGAAGGTGCTAGCCATTTACAATTTGTTATTTAATGTATTTGGTAATTCAATTCCAAAACTTCTTAATGTATTTTGTCTGTCCAATCAAATATTTTCAAGCAGGTGTTAAGAAGTTATAAACTTGTCAGTCACAGTATTTTTATTTCTGTAGTGTGTGTTCATTATATTAGAGGTAGTAGTCATTCATTTGAAGTAGTTAAGCAAGATTTGTTTTATATATAAAGTCTTTGTATTGTCTATTTATTCCTGATGGTAGTATATGTTGCATTATAACTGTTGAATTGAAACTGTTGCATTATAGTCCTGTTTATATATATGGCTCTAATGAATCAATTTTGCTGGATTTGAAGTCAGTTATATACTGTAGTCTGTTCTTGTTCCTGAAATTATAATTCTCTATTTAATTTTTGGTTCAATATATATGTGATATAGATGTTTTATGATTATGATATTAATGATTAAGTAGCATTGAATTTTCCTCATTATTCCTGTAAATTTTAGCAAGGGTCTTAGTTAGCTCTGTTATGTTTAAGAAATTTCTGTATTGATGCTTAACTTATTTAAGCTCATATAATTGGTTATTTAATTCAAATTGAGCTGCCTGGAAATTGTCCTTAGAGTATGTTATAACAATGTCATCAGCATAAGCAATAACATTGTCTTCTGGTAGGACTTCAAACAGGCCATTTAGGTGTATATTGAAAAGCAAAGGTACCAAAATATTGATCCTTGAGGATTCCCAATTTTTGATATAAAAAGCTTGAGCATGAGTTATTAACTTTTATATTAACCATTGTAAAGGGACTCCTCCTAATCTGTTGTTATACAGTTTTTCCCAAGATAAGTATGAGCATTAATCTTTAATCTTAAAATATTTTAAAATGTTCATTTTAAAAATTCAAACTCCAAAGTTATTTTTTAATTAAAGCAGAAAATATATATGAATTAAATGTTTTTATACTGGAGATTTATAGCATTTAAATCAGTTATTTCAAGTTTGTTTACATAGAATCAGAATTGAATAATTTATACTTTGCTACATATAAAAATAACTTCAAATGGTTTTCTACATTTTTGTTTATTATATTTATTATCATTTATAATTACAATATAAAATGTAAATAATGTTATAATTTTATTTATATGATGATAACTATTGTTGGAAAACAATATATTTCTTACAGTCAGAATTTTATTTATTTTATTATTTGTTTATTTATATATTAAAAAAAAAAGTGTATGCATACATACAAATCCATTTAAATTATTAATAAAAAACTGGACTTTAAAACTGAATTTTTGAGATCAAATATTATGATATAAGTAATGAATGACATGAAATAGGAATGATCAATTTTAAGAAAAATTTTTCTATTATTTTTGTTAATTGGTCTAATCAAACATAAATTATTCATAGACAAAACAAATTTACATAACTTTAAATGTCATTTATATACTTATTTAATAATTCAATATAATTCAGTTTGTTTTTTTAATACTTGATAAAAATCAATATTTTAATGTTTATTTTATCATTAAAATATATCTAGTTTCTGATGATAAACTATTTATCTATAGTAAAACATATAGTGAAGAATACAAAAAAAATTTTTGTCTTCACAATCCATCATTTCACAGTCATCATTGATGAACTAAAAAAAAAAAAACACAAATCTTCACTTACAGAAATGACATTTTATTTGAAGCTATACCTCTAAAAAAAACATATAAATTGGTTAAAAAAGTATTTTGACAATGATACCATAAATTAAAACAAATACTTCATTAAAAAGAAATGAAAAATTAATCTATTAAAAAGTTATCAATACTATTATATTGTATATAAACATTATATATCAATAGTATCAATCCTAATTTTGTCTAAATATATTTTAAGATAACATATATTGCCTCTTTATTTTTTTTATTGGATCTTAAATGGTTTTTCCACTTATTTTTAACATTTATGAAGAATTTCTGTCATGGATAATAACTTAAGAATAATATTTAAGAGGAAAAAGAAACATTTAATCTAGATGAATATAAGTAAAACAAAAGAAAACCTTATTCTGTATTTAGATCTTAGATATAAATAATTATTATCCTTGATTAAATGTTTTAAAATTTAAAACAAAGCACTATGCCGTCAACCATGAAATATTTAGTTTTTTATGAAGGTATATTCATACTAAGCAGATTAAACAACTACCAGATTATATCAAGCTATTATATGTTGGTTTATGTATAGGTATATTCGTACTATTATAAGTAACTTAAAATGTGAATAGATGATTATTATTGATTAAAACAACAGATAAACCTGTTTTTTAAACATCATTAAGAAGTTTACCTTGATGTCAGTTGACTGAATTAAATTATGTTGTTTAAAAGTTTAGAAATCTGAGATTCTTGGAAATCTTGCTTAGATATCATTCAAGGACAGCAAGTGATGTAATATAAGTGTTATGCTAATTGTCTGATAAAAAATTCAAAATATTTAGGGTTTTTTGTAAGTTCAAAACAGATTATTTACATCTTTTAATTCTGTGAGAGAAAAGTGAACATACAAGACTGTTTGTTTTTAAAATATTAAGTACTGTACCTAATGTCATATGAATATATATTTTTATACTGATTGATAATTTATTGGAGTTTTTTCTCACGTATTCTAAAATTATATGATGACAAAAAATATTCTAAACATATTTATGATGTGTTGTGATTTCTAAATTGTAGATTTGTTTAATAAAATTACTTTCTTGCCATTTAGAAAGTTATTCCTCATTGTTTCTCTATTGAAAAAAGTTCTGTTAACTATGCTGTAATTAAATTTTCTTTGACTTATTACAGACTTTATACTTAATCCTTGCTTGAAATTTATCATGCAGGCCACTTAATGTTTCCATTAGAAAGTTGACACAAAGTAAGAGTGCTTACTGTGTCACAGATTAAGTAATTACTACTTGCCATTAATTTTTGATTATTTTGATAGCATTCCGAGGCAGTTTATCATATGATTGTCAAAAACACACACACTGTAATCAAGACCAGTGTTACTATTAGGCAAACCTAGGCAATCATCTAGGGTGCCAAGATATGAGGGCATCAGTCTTACTCACAAAGAAAAGATAGATTGTTAATTGGTGTTAATTAATCAAAAAACTTTTTAAAATATTCATAATAATATTATTTTCATAAAATTTCTTTTAAATCATTTCTAATAAGTATATCTAACAATAAGAGAAATGTATCACAAAGTTTAAAATAATCATACTTAATAAAACAAATTTGATTGTCATTCATGTTTCATGGAAAATATGAAGTAGCTGTTAATTAATGTTAACTGATAAATTTAATACTTTGATATTTGATATAATGAATTTTACTTAACATATGTGAATGTGAATATGATATTCATAAGGAATAAACATCATTATTTAAAAGACTTAACAGAATTAAGATTTTATGGCATAAAACAACAATCATTATGAAATTTTCCCAATAAGAAATCTATTCTGAAGTATAAACCGTTAGAATTTTTAATTCCAATCAAGTACTGTAGTATGATATAATAGTTGTATTATCATAAATGTATTATTATATCACATGTAATAATTCTTCATTTATATATTACTTCATTTTGCTCTACTTTTGTAAAATTTATAAGATTTTAAAATTAATAGATATATGTTTTATACCAAAATTGTCAGATTGAGAACAGAATGGAGGCTGGTATTACAGTCTTCTCCAATTTCTATTTCATTCTTGGTTTGACGATTTTGGCATGAAACATACATCCATTTACAAGTATGGCTAACATCCAAATTGCTTTGTACTATGATCTTTAGAAGAAAAAACTGCAGATTGATGGAGATGCATTGGGAAACCTTATTTTTCTAAGCATATAATAAATTAAACATTACTCTTTATCATAAGATCTTGTTCAATGTAAATTTGATTTTTACCTGCAGCATTTTAAAGATTTAAAGTCAAGTAATCATTTCAGTTGCAAAATACATTATGAGTCATTGTATAACTTTGTAGTGTAATGCTGTTAGCCATATTTCTTCTAAGTCATCGTAAATTATCTTTTGAAAATAGATAAAATTTTATTTTAATATAAGCAAGTATTTTTGTGTAATAAAATTCTATTCATTCAAAACCTTACTCAGATTTTTTATTGTAACTGAAACTTCTTGATTTAATGAAATAGGAAAATGGACTGAAATATGAATTTTACATTATCTTAGTATTTGCTTACAGTGTTCGTAGTTAGGTATTAAGGTTTACTTTATCTTAATTTTTAATTTCTAAATGATTCAAATTATAAATTGGAGATGAGATTTATATAACTTTGAAAATACTTTATTTCTTCATATAAAAGTTTAAAACTTAACATAGTTTAAAATTTCTATCTATTTAATGTAGAAAATATTTCAGACTATTTTAGTGTTTTTAAGTTTTCATGTAAATTGAATGATGAAAAGCAACTTTCTTGTAGGAAAAGAAGCATAATTATTTAGATACTTATTAAGACTATAAATTAAAGGTTAAACAGAAAATAAACAGTCTTTACCATACAACTAGGTGCATAGATAGCCACTAGGCTTTTTTTAAATCACTCTTTATTCTGCAATATCTTAGATACTGATATGCATTTTGGGCATATGCCCCTCATCTGTCAGCTTTATCTTACAGACATTTAGCGTAGTGGTGCAAACTATTATACACACTTTTAAAACACATATACACTGTTAAAATTATTGCAACTTAGTGCACTAAACAGCACTCAACATTTGCTGGCACTATCAGTTTCTACTGGGTTTTTTTTCACCTAGTGCATTTAGTTGTGTAGTAAAGACTAACAAATAAAAGAAGGCACGGTTTCAGAAAAAGTTAAGAAAATAAATAATAAAAATTTATTCTCGCAAATTATGTCAATATTACAAAAATTAAACAATATATAGAATATTTATTAATAAAATGCAGTCTTAAAATTTAGCTTTTACTGTAAATATGTTCTTGTAAAATAAATTCAACTTCACGTTTTATTTAATTATATTTGGATTAATTAAAGCACCTTTAACAGTGTAATTTTTAGAACAATACTAATATTTTTGGACTGTTTAACAGATCATCCTTAGGCTTTGAAAGTCAAAAGCAGAGAGAAATCCACTTTTGAATTTCATTTCAATGAATTAAAATGCAACAATTTAATGAGTTTATTTTACTTTGTATTGAAACATAATTTTGATTTCTGATTTATGGAGATTACCTGGAAAATGAACCAAAACATCTGAAAATGTTAAGTTCTGGATAATTCCATAAAACAGAAGCAAGTGTGTAAAAATATATTTTATAAATGATTTTTTTTCATGAAATTTTTGTGTAAAGGTATATAGTACATAGTAACGAAATGATAATGCCTGATTCATTGGGCCATATTTCTGTATATTTATTAGCTAAATTATGGCCTAATGAATCTGGTTTTATCATTTGATTAATTTATAATTTAGGGTTTAGTTTAACATTTAATTATATAATATATATTATATAATTAAATATTATACAGTAATACCCCAAACTTATGCAATAGGTGGGACCAAGCAATAACCACATAAGTTGGGGCATAATTTCACAATTTGTGTAAAATCTAAGTTGGATGTATGTAAGCTAATAAATGTTCTTGTTAATCTTATCTCGTCTTTTGATTCGTTCACGGTTAAAGAAAGCACCACATAGAGTCTCTCAAGTCTCCATAGATGTAACAAGCACAGAAATAAATAACACAAAATAAATTGTAGCTATGTGTCGTTTCCACGTGACATGTTCGAACATGTAAGCTGAACAATAGTGTGGCCCCCACACTATTGTGTGGAGGGTTCAGCTTACATGTGAGTAATCAAGTGTTGTGTGGCGCTCAAACAAAAGACGTATCGATGAGATTTGAAAATTGCATAACTCCAGGTTCGCATAAGTTGGGGTAGCGTAAGTCACGGTATTACTGTATATATTATTTATAATATATCTTATTATATATTATATATATAATTATATATCTGGTAATAATTTTTCAAATGTTATATTAATAGCAAAATATAAGCATATATATACATACAGTATATATAACTGTTATTTAAAATATTGAAAAATTGTTGATTATTTTTAGTTCACCTCATCTTCCAAAAAATAAAAGAATTCTTCTTGAAGCAAATGAGTCTGGAATATTAATATCATTGTTCCCAGATTTGGAACCCAAGAAAGTAATTTCTTATCTTCAAAATGTTCCAGTGAATGATGGTCAGTGGCATCATATTGTTATCACTTGGGATAATGCAGGAGGGATCCTTACTTTAATTACAGACACTGCAGTGGTTCACTCTGTTAATGGCTATGGAAAGAATAGAATGTTACCAAATTAGTAAGTACTGTTTTAATATTAAATTAAGTAACATTTAATTACTGACATAGAATTTAGACCAGAACAAATATTATTGGCTAGTTTAATTAGTCATCATCAGATTCCTATTGAATACAGTAAGGAATTACAAAATTCTAAAAGTTTCACATGTAGTAAATTCAAAAATTTATTTACATTTGCAAACAGTGGAACAGCAACAAAAGCTATCACTTGCAAAAATAATAAAAGCTTCCTTATATACAGGAATACTCTAGTAAGTGCAGTTAATGCATTCCAGAAAATTACCATACTAATTGAGTCTTCACTAATCAGAGAATATTTAATAAAAAAAAGATAAATTATTTGAAAAAGGAGTTTTTCACTTAAAAAAATAATTAGTACAGATTTAATAATAGGTACTATTTTTGCCTTATAAGATGCACTTTTTTCTATCTGAAATTTATCTGAAAAGAAAAGGATGCAACCTACAAGCTGAATGTGTCTCATGCTATGAAGAGTATTTTGTTCCCCAAAAATCAACATGAAAAATGCGATGCACCAAACACAATGGTGTGTCTTATAAGGCAAAAAATATAGTAATTAAATGCATGAAACTACACAAGGATGAAATAAAAACAGGCTCTGCTAAATCTAAACTCCTGTTAATCTGGCCTTTCAATTATCCATCATACCCTCCAGTGTGATTGCCTAAGCACTATTGTTTCCATGAAAATGTTAGTCATGTCACACATCCTGTTCCCTTGGAGTCTCATTTCTATGTGTAGTATTGTATATCATTGTACCATAATATTTGCTCGTCTGCTTCTAAAAAGAACAATGATATCAAAGGACAACAGATCACATTGGTTTTAAGCAGACTTTAGGCCTATACACTCATTAATTTGATGCATTTGCTAATCTGATACTCTGTGCAAGGAATGGCCAGTTTAGCAAGAGTCTAGTGTACTTTATTTTGAAGCTAAATTTTTAAATGTTTGGATAATTTTTTGTCTTTTAATAAAATGTCATTTGAATTTATCTCCTCCTTTTTTGCAAGCATCAGATTATATTTTCTAATAGTCTTTTGAATAAAGTCTGCATTCTTCACCATTATTATTCAAAATTATATTAGAAGCAGACTTTTTTAAAATCTGCACAAAAAAGTCCAAGTTATATAGCATCAATAGGTTAGTAACTAGGTAGTGAGGAGTGAGTGCTGCTAATCATTTTTTCAACTTCACTAGACAACATGCTGTCAGCATGGTATATAATACAGTATTTTTTGCTTTTAAGTTTTTAATCTCTAAGTAGATACAAAGAAGATGTAAGTACAAATTCTCTGTACTTTTCTAAAAAGATGCAACTGGATGCTTTGCAATTTACTAATGGTACATATATTAAATACTTGTAATATTGTTACTTTAATAAAAGAAACTTTGAAAAATAGATTCTAAAAATTTTTGTTTAACAATCCTACACGTGTCATCATAAATTTCATTAAATGGTAAATTTGTACAGATTATTTAATAATTTTAAAGTTGTATACTCTGTACATAAAGACAAACTAAAGTCACTAGCTTTATCTTGAATTTTTTCTATTATGAACATTTTATATGTTTATATTGATTTTTATTTTATTCATTGAAAATAATCCTTGTTGTTTTATAATAAAGCAACAAATCATTCTTTAGATATATTTTTAATACTCCTTTTAAAATTAACCTTTGACTACATCTTTTATGCCTGGCTCCTCAGGCTTCTTTTACAGCTCACATGACCTTTCTCTGAAAAAGATTGGAGCCCCCTACATTATTTACTTACTGAAATGTGCACTATGAACAACTTTTAACTGTACCCAAAGCCATTGTTATGTAAAAACATGATTTAACAAGAACAAAAATACTTGGAAATAATGATAACAGGATAGTGAGAATTTCAGCTCAAGGGCAGGGAATGTAATCTTAAAAAATTTTAAATTAAAACCATGCGGATCTCTCAGATATATTGTATATACTCCCAGTTTAATTTATTGTGAGATTCACCATAATGCAGTTAGTTCAATAGTATCTGTGATTCTTACTTTTAAATTATTAATATCTATTGCCACATAATGTCACAAAATCTTTGATGAATCCCCAAAGAAAGAAATTGTAGGGTATGATGTCAAGAGTTCTACTGGCCAATGAATTACACTTCCAAGGCCAATCCAAATAAAAGAAACAGACAAACTTGGCACACACAAAAAACTTTATACAGAAAAAATTAGTTTCTGTTTAAAATGACAACACAGGAATTTTTACACTTGTTGATTGTCTATTATAACAGACAGAAGGTGCACAGATAAGTTTTGAATGCCTTGTGAACATAACTAAACTAAAATTTTATTACATTTATAATAAATTGATTGATCTGAACTATAAGATTTAAATGTAGTTCCAAAATCTAAAGTCATTTATAGTCATATATATTATGTATTATATTTAAACTGTATCTTATAATATTTATATTAAGATATGATTTAGAATAATTCTAAAACTAGTTGCGGTTATAATTGTAATAAAAATTAATTTTATGAATATTATTACATAATTTGTATATCACTGCTTTTGATTTTTTAATCATACCTTTATGATGTTGCAGTGGATGGATCAGTTTGGGAGCACCTCTTAATTCAGAAAATAGAGCTATATCAGGAGCAGGATTTCATGGACGACTTAGCAGAGTTAATGTGTGGAATAGAGTGTTGGACATAACTGTTGAAATACCCATGCAGTTTAGAAGTTGTAAAAGTGCTCCTGTTTTATACAATGGATTACTTTTGAGATGGGCTGGATATGATAGGTATATCTGATATAAAGAATGCTTTTAAGAAAAAAATATTTAATATATATAATGTATTTAAAACTTTTCTGCATATTTATGTCTTTTTTATAAGTTTTAAATTAATGTTATATTTTATTGTTTTGTTAGAGTTGATGGTACTGTTGAAAAGCAAAGTCCTGGAAGTTGTGGAGAACAGGTCTGTCCTGTTGGTTATTCTGGAGAAAACTGTCATATATTTCAAAAAGATAAAATGCCCCCACAAGTATTATATTGTCCACCAGATATGTGGGTTATTACACCAAATGTTAGTACAATTATGAGCTGGGAAGAACCAACATTTACAGATGATCTTCGTTCATTTAAAGTTACAGAAAGAAATGGAATACGACCAGGTAATTTCTTCATAAAACATTGTATTAGATAATTTGTATCTTACACAGCTATTAAATTCATAATTTTTTACAAATTTAGCTGTATCACTGATATAATGAAATTATTAATAGTTATTATAATTAAAATTAACTGTTAAGAAGAAATACTAAATTAGAGTAAAAGTGTTTACAATTCATACCTCTAATTTAGTGTTTCTTTTAAATTTGTGAATTTTAATTATGATAATAATTCATTATATCAATATATATCTAATGTATTATTAATAAATACACTAAAAATACTTATGGAAATTAGATGAGTTAGATATAATTTTATTCATTTAACATATTTCACTGAAGTCCAAATGATAAATTTTAAGGCATCTTAAGATTTTAAAAATGAGTTATTAAATTAACAAAGTAATACTTTTTATATGGTTTTGAAGTATTGGGTTGAGTAATAAGTCTGCATTTTCTATGTTCATTTTAAACATATTATTTAACTTACAGATACAAACAATTAATCAGTTATATACAATCCATTTTGTTATATCAGTAATTGCCCTCTTTCTACTAATTTCTCAATTCCTCTTCTGAAAAAGTCCTCAGATTTTGAGACAATATATTCCACAATAGCATTTTTGACTACATCAATTTGAACAAACTTTTTTCTATCTAAATAATTCTGTAAAGATCTAAACAAATAATAATCTGAGGGTGCCAAATTCAGAGAATATGGTTGACAAGGTAAACTTTCCATTGCAATTCTCTTATTTTTCTAGGGTTACTTTGGCAATGTGTGGTCTTGCATTGTTATGATGCAGTATAATGCTCTTGTGGTTTACTAGTGTCAGTCTTTTGTCTTTTAATGCTTTGCGTAAATGATTTAATTGTTCACAATATGTGTTGGCATTTATGATTTGGTTTGGATCTAGTAGTTCATAATACACTATTTTCTTCAAATCCCACATTATGCACAACATTATTTTTTTGGGTGCAGTCCAGTTTTTGGTGTGGATGTTGAAGGCTCTATTGGATTTAGCCATGATAATTTCCATTGAATATTAGTGTATAATATCCACTTTTCATCTCCATTAATTACTCAATCTAAAAATGGATCTTTCTTTGGTGATCGAATAATAATCCAGCAATACTTAATTATTATGTGAGATCAGTTTCCATTAACTTGTGCAGAACCCACAAATCTAAATTAGGAATTTTCCAAGCTTTTTAAGATTGCTGCATACACATTTTGGCTTACATTTAGTTTCATAGCCAATTCTCTTGTGGTAGTTCTTGGATTTGCTTCAACCAGTCTTTAGATCATCATTATTGATCGCAATTGGCCAACCAGAGCACTCATCATCTTTTAAGCTAAAATTGCTCTTTCAAAACTTAGCAAACCAAAACTGAGCTCTTCTCACCTTTAGAGTATCAGTGCCTTAAACTTTGCAAATTTCTGATGTTGTAGTTGTCTTCATTGCATTTAAACCTTCTTGGAAACAAAAAAAGCAAAATGTGTTTAAATGGACGTCATTGCTTCCATTTCAGAGAACTGAAATGTTCACAAAATAAAATTAAAACTATTCAAATCAGTTTAACAGACTGGTAACATGTTCCTGTTATCAATAAATAATAATATCAATAAATCAATAAATAATCAACAATAAATAATGTTGAGTGCAATAGTTGTCCATCATGGAAAAGAGGCAAGAATCCATGAACTTTTTTCAAACAAGCAGCAATAAACTTTAATCACACTAATTTGTTATAATTAAACAAGTGAATTTTATGTTAAAAAGTAAAATGGAACTTTCATGATCATTATTTTATTGATGTTTATATCATTTAAAAAATTCATGATAGTGACCCGCAGAATTCAAAATTGTGAGTTTAGTGGTTTGTGAGGTCAGCAAGGATGGCAACTGCTGGTATGTTCAACTATCTTCCATTTTTTGACATGCCAAAAGATAAGACTGCTTTATTAATATTGACAAATGCACAGGCATTTCTATTTTTGTAATGTTGATCAACAAACAGTTTCAGTCCTTGTTAACACAACTGCAGACTCATCACAAACAACATTATGTAGGGATAAAAGCACCATATTATATGATTTAAATTTCATTTAGATTGATAGGACCCTGACAATTTTTTGTAAAGGCCTTCATAATTACATTCATCATACTGCTTATCATTGTATGGACTAAAAAAAGTCAACAGCTAAAAGTAAATTAGTATTATTTTCTTGATACTTTACTCTTATACCAAAAACAAGATCTGACTACTTAAATTTACAATTATGCTAATACATTATTATTATTGGTTTTTAAAAGTATTTTCTTCCAATTCTTTAGTTTTATAAAATAATAGATGCTATCAGACAGTTTACATAATACTCTTAGGATACATAAATACTAATAAGATATAAATATTTGATACATAATACTGAATTTACGTTTCATTAAAGGATAAAAAATATATTAGGCCTGTTGTTTAATGAATGATTTAATATATATAAATTGTAATTAAGTATTTTAAGTAGTTAAAACCATTAGTTTTTTGTTATTCAATTTTTAAAGAAACTATAGTATCCAAGATCCAAGAATTTTACTGTATAATTGTTGAGTAGTATAGTTTATATATATATATATATCATTTGTGTGATAATTTTAATTAATATTTCTTACATAATTCTAATTTTCTACAGTATGAATCCATATAATAACTAATGTCTGTTGAATTATCATAGTTGTTTTCATGATTAATTAATTAATTACAAATATTTTTCAAAATTGATAGAAATTTTGATTTGACAAAGAAATATGTATTTTCTTTGATATCTAAATAGCTTAATATATCTTGAGAGGTATAAAATATTTGAAAATTTAAAACATATTTTATCATAGCAACAAATAAACATAAATTGGCTAATAACATATACATATAGATCAAAAATCAACAAAATTAATTAAATAAAATGATTACCAATAATTAATACACATTTGTCAGTTAATTAATAATGTTTATTCAAAAATGAGAACATTTTGTAAAACAGATAACTTCAAAAAACTATATTTTCAGACTATATTTAAAGTCATACTACTTCGATACCTTGCAAGGATGCGGAACAAGTTTTATGATGACGTAAAGTAACTGTATTAAGTTAGTAGAAATGTTAGTAGAAATTAAAGACAAAAAGCAAAAAACAATACAATATACTTTCTTCTTATTATTCCTTTAAGTATTGGTAGTAATAACCAAGAGTAAAGAATATTCTAAATACTTCTTTAGAAAATTGTAGATTTTAATTGTAGTTAAAATTGGAAAAGTTAAAACTTAAATCTTTAGATTAAATATTTTTCATGATCCCAACTATTTATTTAAGGTAGTATGGAACTGATTTTCTAATTAATATATTGCTGTTTGTGTATTTTTATTTACGGTTATTTTTTTTTCTGTGTTTTAGGAGTTGCATTGAAAAAAGGAAATTATGAATTATTTTATGTGGCTACAGATGAAGCAGGAAATTCTGCACAATGTTCATTCACTATTCACGTGTTGAGTATGTATTTAGAGTTTCATCATTAGTTTTATAAATGTAATGTTTATAATAATGTCAGAATTATGTTTTAATGTGCAAAATAATAATTTCTTTATAATACAGGAGCTATTTATTTTAAAATACAAAAATATTTTTAATGCAAAATAGTAACCTTTAGGTCTCTCTTTAGAGTCACTATGTATTTGTCCATCATAAATCTAAAAAAAACAATTAGTAATTTATTATTAATTGTTTTTATTAATATTAGTTAATTAATATAATTTTTTAAGCTAAATAAAAAAATTAAGTAATTAGATTAATGATATCATATTCATAAGAACTGCAGAAATTTTCAGAAGATTAATTATTGAATTATTGAAATACTCAAGACAGACTCTCAGCATTAAACAGGAAAATACTTTAAGTGGACTATGTTTTATCCAAGCATTACAAAATGGTATTTCTGTAGCTAGGATGAGTTGTAAGAGAAACAGTATCATAAGTCACTTGTCTTGGTTGCCGTTAGTGCAGCAGTGCAACATGTTTCAATGAATATTTCCTATGTATATATCTGCTTTTATTTTTTAATATTTCAAATGCTGGCATTTTATAATAATTTTTAGCTAATTTATATAAAGCCATGTGTGCGATTCTTTTAATTTTAGTAATAAGTCTTTGAGTTACGTATTTTTTTTTTTTTTAGATTGTTTTTAACAAAATGTAAGTAATAAATAAAAGTAAATAAGTCAAACAGACTTTTGCATATTTTTACTAACTAATTTTTCTTGCTAATACTTAAATATTTGCAATGTTTCATGTTAGAGTAATTAAAAATAAATAATATGGAAAATTACATTAAGTTCTTATGGTTAATTATATAATAATTCTATTCCTTACAATCAGCAATAAAATCAGGTGAAAAAAGAATAATGTTTGATTATGAATAATTATACCCCTTAAATAATTTCATTTTTCACATTCTTGTAGTACAAAAGTGCTTATGGATAATGAAATAACAAGGACAATTAAAAACTTATGACATCTTAACCTCAAACTATATGCAATTAATATCTTTTTAATGTCTACATTTTATAGTAGACAAGATTAATTCATTAAACTTGATAAAAGAAATTGGCAAATTGGCTGAAATATTTTACAATTTTAGTATTATCACATTCACAAGCTTGATGTTTGATGAAAGATTGATGCAAACAAGATGTTATAAGATCATAAATTGATAACACTATTTGTCTTTAGACCAGTGTGGGGGTTGGTAGAACAGTGATAACGCTCTAACAGTGTTGAACCGTTACAACTGGATGTTGTAGGTTTGCTCCTCATAAAAAGAAATTCAATGATAAAACATTCCCGTTTGATTTCCTACTAATCTTAACATATCTAATTAATAAGGGAGTTGAATATGATATAAATTTTAGTCTACTTAACTAATGTTTCTCTGAAAAAATCAATATTCTGTAACTGATATCTTACTTAAATATGCAGTTTTATTATATCTTCTGCAAAACTATAAATAAATGTTACAGTAACTTTTTTAATTTTAATATATTTTTACAATACCAGATACAATCACCATTTGTTCTAATGTAGTATTAATATTATAGTAGACAATGACTGTATTTCAGATATATTTTTTAAAAATCCATTTGTGCAAAGTTATAGATAGACAAAAATGCATTATTCTACTATCTAACAAACTATTCTAAAATTGAACATTTTTTCTCTCCTTGAAAGATTTCATAAATAAATTTAAACATATATTTAATGATAGCCTAATTTAAAAAGATTTACCCATGATTAATGTGGTTAATTGATTCCTTGATACTACTGCATATATCAAAATCGTGTTAATCAAATACAGTGGTACCTCGATACTCGACCGAACAATCATGACCCGTTAGAACAAATTTTCAGTTAATAACAAATATTTATATTTTAATAAATGAAAATAGCAAATTTATAACTCCTTATTTGCCAAGAAAAACATATCTATGTTGAGAAATGACAAATGTTAAAATCCACATTAATTAAAATTTTTGCTGTATATAAAAGGGGGTTGCTGCAATTAATTTTATACATTAATCAAATTCTGCATTAAGCAAGGAATATCTGTATTTAAAAGAGAGTTTGTATGCTTACTATACATCATAAGTATGTTCAGTGGTTCTTTAAATAGAAGGAAAGAGGAGTTTCATTTATCAAACATATTAATATATATATATTTTAATATAACACAATATGTAACATATTTTTATTTCTATAAAAATACCTTTTTTTTACACAATAGTCAATAAGGCTAGTGCCAAATTTTCTATATTTATATTTGTAATTAATGTATGAATATAATTAAAACAATATTCTTTTATAAAAGTTTTTTAAAGAATCTTATCTGTAATATTAAATGTAATTTTTTTTTAACAGATGATTTTTGCCCAATACCAATGTCACCAGTTGGAGGACAGAGGCACTGTTCTGACTGGGGACCAAGTGGCAGCTTTAAAACTTGTACCATAACCTGTGATGATAATTTAGAATTTTCTCAGATGGTTCCAAAATACTATGTTTGTGGTAGTGAGGGATTTTGGCGTCCAACTACAGAGCCAAATATGCCATTTGTTTTCCCAGCATGTGCAAGTAATAATAATTATTACTATAATAAATAATTTTTTATTTGTTTAAAAATTATTTAATATTAATAGAATATTTTTGTATACTCTAATAATATATAATCCAAACACAGAATAACTATTATACCAAGATATTTATTACTATAAACTTAATTGTGTTATTATGTGATATTTTATTAATCTAGATGAGATCTAGAAGAATTATAGATACCAAAGGATGATGATATATTTACAATAGACTCATTTAGTCTACAAAGTTGAGGATGAAACACAGTCTTAATATTATCAAGTTATTTACTTTTTCACAAAAAAATTCTGTAATGAAAAACTACATTTTCATGTACTTAAAATAGGGGTTATTTTGTTTTAGAAAAACCAAACATTTTTGGATTGTCCATTTTTTAGAGTTTAATAATCAGTTTAAAAGAGACAATCTTGAAATTAATTTAGTTAAAAATTTTATTTTATGCATTGAAAACATAGCTTGTTGATAGACATATTTAATTCCTTATTCTTATTAATATTACCAAATGAAATCCAGTGAACAGTAAAAATTTTTATAGAAATCACTTGATTAGTTAAACAATTAACTTAAATAAACATGTTACATTCTACTAGTAATATTCAAAACTAGTAAATTTTGAAAAATGAAAAATTAGTGACACACAATAAGATCAAACCTTTTCACATCTGATATGAATGTGCATTATCAGCTATGTCACGTGAATATCCTGAATCAATCTTTTGACATATTAGACTACTTTAGATTAACAGTGAGTTTTTAGGATTGATTATCTTAGAAGAATTAAAGTATAATTCTTCTTAGGTAATCAATATTAATTCTTAAATTCTTTATTGGCTAGCTATAAACATTTATAAAATATTCTTTTTCTATAATTATAGAAATTTAAAAAGATTAATTTGAATTGAAGGATGAGAATTTAATAATGAATTTAAAGATGTGAGCAGAATTATTAAATTTTTACCTTAATAATTCTATTCACATCTTTTGGTTCTTTATTAAACTTCTTAATGTTTTTAAAAACTAAGGATGTGTTTTAATACTTTTTATACATGTAAAAAGCTTTACTGGTACATATTCAAGACATTTACATTATTCTAGAATTTATAATGAAATGAAATGACTAAATATTGCTATCAGCATATTTTTCTGAAGGTTTTTAAGGTAGAAATAAATTAATTCATAAGCTTTGATCTAAAGATAAGAGAAACCCAGATAGTCTTTACAAAATATAGTATAGAGATAGACTTGTCATGTACATGACTTTAAACTTGTATTCTATTTTATTTTATTTCTATTATTATTATTATATAAATAACGGATTAAAATGTATATATAACTGTCATTGCAGATGTCTGCACCAATCACTGCGAAAACGGTGGAAAGTGCGAAGTAAACACCGAAACTTTCGAACCTAGATGTCATTGTTCTGCCAATTTCTATGGTAAAAAATGCNACAGTATATATAACTGTTATTTAAAATATTGAAAAATTGTTGATTATTTTTAGTTCACCTCATCTTCCAAAAAATAAAAGAATTCTTCTTGAAGCAAATGAGTCTGGAATATTAATATCATTGTTCCCAGATTTGGAACCCAAGAAAGTAATTTCTTATCTTCAAAATGTTCCAGTGAATGATGGTCAGTGGCATCATATTGTTATCACTTGGGATAATGCAGGAGGGATCCTTACTTTAATTACAGACACTGCAGTGGTTCACTCTGTTAATGGCTATGGAAAGAATAGAATGTTACCAAATTAGTAAGTACTGTTTTAATATTAAATTAAGTAACATTTAATTACTGACATAGAATTTAGACCAGAACAAATATTATTGGCTAGTTTAATTAGTCATCATCAGATTCCTATTGAATACAGTAAGGAATTACAAAATTCTAAAAGTTTCACATGTAGTAAATTCAAAAATTTATTTACATTTGCAAACAGTGGAACAGCAACAAAAGCTATCACTTGCAAAAATAATAAAAGCTTCCTTATATACAGGAATACTCTAGTAAGTGCAGTTAATGCATTCCAGAAAATTACCATACTAATTGAGTCTTCACTAATCAGAGAATATTTAATAAAAAAAAGATAAATTATTTGAAAAAGGAGTTTTTCACTTAAAAAAATAATTAGTACAGATTTAATAATAGGTACTATTTTTGCCTTATAAGATGCACTTTTTTCTATCTGAAATTTATCTGAAAAGAAAAGGATGCAACCTACAAGCTGAATGTGTCTCATGCTATGAAGAGTATTTTGTTCCCCAAAAATCAACATGAAAAATGCGATGCACCAAACACAATGGTGTGTCTTATAAGGCAAAAAATATAGTAATTAAATGCATGAAACTACACAAGGATGAAATAAAAACAGGCTGCTAAATCTAAACTCCTGTTAATCTGGCCTTTCAATTATCCATCATACCCTCCAGTGTGATTGCCTAAGCACTATTGTTTCCATGAAAATGTTAGTCATGTCACACATCCTGTTCCCTTGGAGTCTCATTTCTATGTGTAGTATTGTATATCATTGTACCATAATATTTGCTCGTCTGCTTCTAAAAAGAACAATGATATCAAAGGACAACAGATCACATTGGTTTTAAGCAGACTTTAGGCCTATACACTCATTAATTTGATGCATTTGCTAATCTGATACTCTGTGCAAGGAATGGCCAGTTTAGCAAGAGTCTAGTGTACTTTATTTTGAAGCTAAATTTTTAAATGTTTGGATAATTTTTTGTCTTTTAATAAAATGTCATTTGAATTTATCTCCTCCTTTTTTGCAAGCATCAGATTATATTTTCTAATAGTCTTTTGAATAAAGTCTGCATTCTTCACCATTATTATTCAAAATTATATTAGAAGCAGACTTTTTTAAAATCTGCACAAAAAAGTCCAAGTTATATAGCATCAATAGGTTAGTAACTAGGTAGTGAGGAGTGAGTGCTGCTAATCATTTTTTCAACTTCACTAGACAACATGCTGTCAGCATGGTATATAATACAGTATTTTTTGCTTTTAAGTTTTTAATCTCTAAGTAGATACAAAGAAGATGTAAGTACAAATTCTCTGTACTTTTCTAAAAAGATGCAACTGGATGCTTTGCAATTTACTAATGGTACATATATCAAATACTTGTAATATTGTTACTTTAATAAAAGAAACTTTGAAAAATAGATTCTAAAAATTTTTGTTTAACAATCCTACACGTGTCATCATAAATTTCATTAAATGGTAAATTTGTACAGATTATTTAATAATTTTAAAGTTGTATACTCTGTACATAAAGACAAACTAAAGTCACTAGCTTTATCTTGAATTTTTTCTATTATGAACATTTTATATGTTTATATTGATTTTTATTTTATTCATTGAAAATAATCCTTGTTGTTTTATAATAAAGCAACAAATCATTCTTTAGATATATTTTTAATACTCCTTTTAAAATTAACCTTTGACTACATCTTTTATACCTGGCTCCTCAGGCTTCTTTTACAGCTGACATGACCTTTCTCTGAAAAAGATTGGAGCCCCCTACATTATTTACTTACTGAAATGTGCACTATGAACAACTTTTAACTGCACCCAAAGCCATTGTTATGTAAAAACATGATTTAACAAGAACAAAAATACTTGGAAATAATGATAACAGGATAGTGAGAATTTCAGCTCAAGGGCAGGGAATGTAATCTTAAAAAATTTTAAATTAAAACCATGCGGATCTCTCAGATATATTGTATATACTCCCAGTTTAATTTATTGTGAGATTCACCATAATGCAGTTAGTTCAATAGTATCTGTGATTCTTACTTTTAAATTATTAATATCTATTGCCACATAATGTCACAAAATCTTTGATGAATCCCCAAAGAAAGAAATTGTAGGGTATGATGTCAAGAGTTCTACTGGCCAATGAATTACACTTCCAAGGCCAATCCAAATAAAAGAAACAGACAAACTTGGCACACACAAAAAACTTTATACAGAAAAAATTAGTTTCTGTTTAAAATGACAACACAGGAATTTTTACACTTGTTGATTGTCTATTATAACAGACAGAAGGTGCACAGATAAGTTTTGAATGCCTTGTGAACATAACTAAACTAAAATTTTATTACATTTATAATAAATTGATTGATCTGAACTATAAGATTTAAATGTAGTTCCAAAATCTAAAGTCATTTATAGTCATATATATTATGTATTATATTTAAACTGTATCTTATAATATTTATATTAAGATATGATTTAGAATAATTCTAAAACTAGTTGCGGTTATAATTGTAATAAAAATTAATTTTATGAATATTATTACATAATTTGTATATCACTGCTTTTGATTTTTTAATCATACCTTTATGATGTTGCAGTGGATGGATCAGTTTGGGAGCACCTCTTAATTCAGAAAATAGAGCTATATCAGGAGCAGGATTTCATGGACGACTTAGCAGAGTTAATGTGTGGAATAGAGTGTTGGACATAACTGTTGAAATACCCATGCAGTTTAGAAGTTGTAAAAGTGCTCCTGTTTTATACAATGGATTACTTTTGAGATGGGCTGGATATGATAGGTATATCTGATATAAAGAATGCTTTTAAGAAAAAAATATTTAATATATATAATGTATTTAAAACTTTTCTGCATATTTATGTCTTTTTTATAAGTTTTAAATTAATGTTATATTTTATTGTTTTGTTAGAGTTGATGGTACTGTTGAAAAGCAAAGTCCTGGAAGTTGTGGAGAACAGGTCTGTCCTGTTGGTTATTCTGGAGAAAACTGTCATATATTTCAAAAAGATAAAATGCCCCCACAAGTATTATATTGTCCACCAGATATGTGGGTTATTACACCAAATGTTAGTACAATTATGAGCTGGGAAGAACCAACATTTACAGATGATCTTCGTTCATTTAAAGTTACAGAAAGAAATGGAATACGACCAGGTAATTTCTTCATAAAACATTGCATTAGATAA